GGAGCAGCTGGGGTGGCGTTGGGGAGGGCCCGGGGAGCAGCCGGGGGTGACGTTGGGGGGACCCAGGGAAGCAGCCAGCGGGGCGGCAGTTGGGGGACCCGGGGAGCAGCCGGGGTGGCGTTGGGGGTGGCGCGGGAGCAGCCCGGGGGCGTCGTCGGGGGGGGGACCCAGGGGAGCAGCCTGGGGGGCAGCCCAGGGGGTGGTGTTGTGGGGTGACCTGGGGGAGCAGCCTCGATGGGGGCCTATCTAGGGGAATATTTCCTTCCTTTCCCTTAGGGTCAGTCACAGATTTTCTCAGTTCTAATCAGTCTGAAGTGATCGATGCTGATAAGTCTGAATTTGAAAAACACAACTGACATCGATCTCAGACTGCAGGTGGTTGGCCTCTGATTTTACATCCCAGATGGCATCTCCAGCCGCACAGTGCCCCTAACTTGGGCTTTGGCATAGCACAGAAGCAGATGGTACACAGCACCACAGAAGCAACCTCTTCTTAGTATCTTGGGTTTTCCTTTCTACTTGTTCCTGTGAAGTACTAGCCTGGTCTGACCCGACCCTCCTGACCTTGGGAGACCCCATGAGAGCAAAGCCCAAAGCGCATTGACTACTCTTAAGAACTGCCCTTAAAATAAACAGAGAAATAACCTCCCTATGAATCCAACTGATGAAACCTGAGCTTCTGCTCCTCCTCATTTAGAGGCCGCAAGGCACCAGTTTAACAGTAGACTTTGTACCTCCAACTGTTACAGATCTTTCTGATTTTTGACTGAGAGTTGCTGTGACCCATCCATAAAAGATTTGCCTTGCATTTAACAGTAATACAATCTGTGAGGCACAAGAGGTGGTGAGGTATTTATCTCTAGGGCCAGACCAAAAGCATGCTGAAACCAATGGAAATCTTCCCATTGATCTCAATGGGCTTTGGCCCGATCCCTTATACCACAGTGTCTGAGGCCCAGATCCTCAGATGTATTTAGGCACCTAACTCCCAGTGATTTCAAAATCAACAAAATCATCACCACTTTATAGGTCACACGTGGTCTAGATTCTTCCCTTCTTCCTCTGAGCCTGCTGGGGATTTTGTATTCCTCCTCCATCATCTGCCTTCTTTCCTTTCCCCGTTGTTTTCCTTGTGGCTGTGGCTATATCTGCAGCCCCCCTCACCCCCAATGTGTTATTTTGATGTTCTTGTTAGATGAGAGTTATTTTTTTAATGTGAGGAAATTGTTCAGATCCCTGTGCAGTGTTTGCGAGGATCTTGGATGTTCTTTCCTTGCTTATTTTCCTCGTAGGGTGCTAACTTCATCATCTGTTTGCCCTTCCATTGTAAATCAGCACGTGCTGGAAATCCTTCTGGAGGGACATTGAAATCAGTACATTTGAGATACTAATGCAAGTAGAAGCCTTAGGGCTGGAATAGTCAAAGGAGTCTAAGAGAGTTAGGTCTCCAAACGCCATTGAAATACAATGAGAGATGAGTGTCTAACTCCCTGGGGCCCCTTTGAAAATCCAATCTATACATTTGCTCCAGGGCAGATTGGAAGACTGCACAAGCCTTGTGGCCCTTTATGGCAAGGAAAGAATTGTAAGTAAGTCCTTTATTGAGAAGTGCCACCAAGTGGTTAGTGCTTGGAACTGAATGTCAGGCAGCCTGAGTCCTAGTTCCACCTGTCCCTGAGGGTATAAACAGCAGTTAAACCTCCGCAGCTGCCCCGAGTCAGGTGACTTGGGCTTGCTCAGGCTGTGGTGCTGTAAAACTGTTCTGTAGATGTTTGGGCTTGGCTTAGAGTCGGAGCTCTGGGGCCTAGTGAGGCAGGAGGGTCCCAGAGCCCAAGCTCCAGCCCGAACCCAAATGTCTACATCGCAGTTAAACAGCCCTGCAGCCCAAGTGCCGTGAGCTCAAGTCAGCTGACATACTGCAGCATAGCCACACTCTCACTCTCTTAGTGATCTTAAACAAGTCACAACCACTCTGTGCTTCTGCTCCCCCTATGCAAAATGAGTAGAATGAGATCCACCTTTATAGATGGCTCTGAAATCCTGGGAAGTAAGGGCAGGTCCTCAGCTGGTATAAACTGGCATCATTCCCTTGAAGTCAATGGAGTTTTGCTGATACACATCAGCTGAAGACCTGGACCATAAGGTGCCACATAAGTACATAGTATTTTCTTAAAAAATAATGGTTCTGAAACAAAGTACAAAACTGATAGACCCATTTATAGCTCTCGCTGCAGTGAAAAGACATTAGTACAGAAAATCTACCTCTGATTGCAATTTACAGCACCGGTGTTTAGTTCTGGTCATCCAACTTCCACAAAGCATACACATGTCAGCACTCAGAAGTAGTTAGTTGTCTCAATTCATTAGCAAGAATGGCAAGGTTGAGTAATTCTGTCCCAGGCTAGAGTTATTGAGGCTGTAATAATGTTTTGGTACAAACCTGTCAAAAAACCTTTGAAGGTTCAGCTCTAGGATGAAGATTTAAAATGAAGGACATAATATAACTGTCAGGGTAGGGAGGTCAAAATTTGGTGTAAGGCCTAAGTAACATTTTCTATCAGCTCTTATGCTGTGCTGCTAATGTGTGGAATTTACAACGTTAAAGAGGAGATAGATGGTACTGAACTTCATCGTCATCATGTTCCCATTACACCCCTGGTGTTAAGGGCAGCCACGAAGCTCCCCCACTCCTGTCTGTTTCTGACAAGGCTTTCAATGGTTCCCCCGCTGTGCTTCCATAGCTCTTTGCTGTGCTGTTTTCGGGCGGCCTCGTTTTCGCTTGCCTTCAGGTGTCCATCTTGCTATTCTGGGGATGGAATCAGCTTGGGCAGGACTTTAATTTGGCTTAATATAATAGGACTGGAGCTTCAAATAGAACTTCAAAGCAAAAAAGTCTGACTGTTGCAATATGAGGAGGCAAGTAGGAGGCAAGGCTGGAGAGCCTGGGCCCAAATAAATCAATGGGAGATACATGGGGGTGTGAAGGCATAACTCCATCTTGGGATTGGACTGCACAGCTGAGAGAATGCATTTGTAATGGATTAATTCCTGAACTGTTGAAATTCTGTATCACATATTTATCTGTTTGTCTGGTAAAGTACCCATTTATCATCCAAGGGTAGAGGTCCCTGGATGGGTTTTCAATGCTGCTGCTCACCACCAGCCCCTACTGGCTTCAATGGGAGCTGCAGGTGCTCAGCATTTTGATAATCAGCCCGCAATTGACCTAGCCAACAGAAGTGACGATTAAAACAAAACGAGCCAAATCCTGAAGTCGTGATTCATGCACAACTCCCACTGACTGTTCAGCAAATTTGCCTGAATAAGGGATTGGATCCCAAATGATGGCCCCCAAATAATAACATGTGAAGATGAAAACCAATCCTAAAGGTTCCGATTATTATATTATTCTTATTATTTTACTCACAGCAACCAATTCTAGTCAAACCTTACCTAAACAATACAGCCCAAGTTAAACTGGTACAGACGGAAAGGCTTCTTTGCCTGTTGGATGTTCTCCTTGCTGCCTGTCAGTAATGTGGTTCGGAGATATCTGTGATCGCTGACCCATAGATTTGGCTTTCCCAGTCGGACAGCTGTTGCACAAAGCCACGGTTTGGTCTCATGTTTGTTTTGCATTTCTGGATGTATTTCCAAGCCCTCTACAAATACAAGTAAAGACAGGGAGAAGACTCAGGAACTTGCTTACTTTGTATTGTCCAGGTTACAATTACACCTCTACCCCAATATAACGCGACCCGATATAACACAAATTCTGATATAACGCGGTAAAGCAGTGCGTCCGGGGGGGGGGGGGGGCTGCGCACTCCGGCGGATCAAAGCAAGTTCGATATAACGCGGTTTCTACCTATAACACAGTAAGA